ACACATCCCAAACTGTCGTACCCGAAGCTACTGCAACTTCCGGAATCCATTCCGACCCCTATATCAAAATCTCACCTATACAACTGGAAAACGCCAAAAACTAACTTTCGCCAATTCAAGCCTAATCTACACCGGACCTCCAAAACGCATTCCGATCACGCTCCTAAGTCCCAAATCACCTAACGGAGCTAACCAAATCATAAAAATTCTGATCCGACATCATATACAAGCAAGTCAAATATTGGTCAAACCTTTCGAATTTCAAGCTTCAAACTGGGAGCTGTTCTTCCAAATTCATTCCGATTACCCTGGAAACCAAAATCAACGATTTATCCACAAATAAGATTGAGTTGGTGCACATAACTCGCTCTTAGGAATGTTTTGAAAATTTTGCCACGGGTGGTTTCCTTCACAATATGTATGGAGATCAATAGTAGAATTATCTACACCTAAATTTCCATAATTCCAAGATGTCATGTTTCTCAAATCAATAGTTATAAAAAATAAAAAATACAAAAAACAAAATAAAAGAAAACAAAATAAAAGTTCAAACTCGAAACCTAGCAATATATACAGCTACAACTACACCGTTAGTTCCCCGGCAACGACGCCAAAATTTGATCACGCCCAACTCTAGTCCTAAAAAGGATAAGCGGTCGCTGCAAATATAATCCGGTCTTAATGTCCGGAGTCGAATCCCACAGAGAACTAAGGCTTAGCTGTATCTGTTTAATATTACCAAGAAGACAAGATTGAACAATTTTCAAAATTATAAAGATTGCAATTTATATTTCTAGCTAATTAACTAGCAATACGACAGAGCAGTAAAATTATCAACTAACGAACAAAGGGTTGGAGACTAAATTAAGCAGGCCTAGAGTTATGATTTCCCCAATTGTCGGAATCCTTACAGCTATGTTCCCTACAATTTCGCCAATGTATTCTCTACTGATCGTGAGCACTTTAGGTGTCATAATTCTCTCTCGAGCAACTTCAAAAATTTACTCGACATATTCTCTCGAACTACGCTAGTTGGCTTCATCTAACCGCTCACTATGACCACATCAAGGCTTTGTTATTTCTAAAC